CCTAGTCAAGAAGGAAGCAAGGGTGAGTTTTTACAAGTGAGGGTCCATACATCTAGGCGGCCCCGCCTGGGTTTTTGAAGAAGTGGCCGGCTGCTTCTCAGCCGCCACTGTTTTCCTGAAAGACCCAGGAGAGCTTGCAACAGTTGTCCTCCGGGCCTTGGGGTCCGGCTGTTGCGAGGAAGAAGCCCTTGGAGTACCAGACTGAAAACAAAAAGAGTTAGTATATGCATAAGACAACTAAAAGAGGAAGAGTTTTCGAAGCTAACCAAGGGTGCCTCCTTGTTAGGGGAGTCGGCATACGACTGTTTCATGAGCGAGGCCCGCAATATGGCCGCTGTAGTCTTAGATGCTGATATTTTACTCATGGCGTCAGCTGCAAGAAATAAACAGCAAAGTTAGTAAAAATCCCAAGTAAACAAGGCGTGAAAAAACAGAGTATTTGTCAGGCCGGCTACCTCTAGAGCACCGACTGCCGAGGCCACAGGCGGCCAAAAAATACTCGTCATAGAGCCACTTGAAGCTCGGGACGCAGTTTAGGGGTACTTGCTCTCGTACCCCTGAAGTAGAGTTCACCCTAGTCTCTACTTTGAAGAGTCCTTTGTCTAGGATCTCTCTTTTAGCCTTTGGGGGAACAGGCGGCATGCTGCGGCCGCCTGCGAGAAGAGGCGGATCCCTATTCCACTTGTTAAAGCGTTTGTTCAGCTCCGTGTCTGAACCCTCGATAATAAGGAAGGTGTTCCGCCAATCCTTCCATTTGTTCGCCTTACCTCTCGTCATGAGGTAACCCCTATGGCTTGTTAATTGATACCAGCCGGTACCTCCCGACTTAGGGGTCCGGCTGAGATAGTTCATATGGGCGAAAGCCTCAAAGCTTGGCTCCACCCCGTTCATTTCGCACCCGGCCACATAGCCGAGTACGTTTACCCAAGAGTTGGGGGCTAACTGCCATAACCCCAGATCATACCCATCTAAAATCCGCTGAACAGCCGGATGTAATGGGAAGCGCAGTCCAGCTTTGATGGCCGCCACATAGCAGCCAAAGCAGCCGTCACCATAGCTGGTACCAGCCGGCCAGACGACAGTGTCTTCTGGATCCGGCACAAACAGTAAAAATTCCGGGCCCATTTTGTGGTTAGCAATAAAGCTCGCCACGTTGTCTTGCATGGTTGCAATCCGGCCCCGGGGTACCCTGCAGTAGTAGGGGGCGTTTTCCTCTCTGTAAGAGGCGGATGGCTCCGCCCAATTGTCCCCCTTCTCAACTGCATGAGAAAGTCTCGCCTCTTGTAGGCGGCTATGTTTTTCTTCTGAGCCTGGAGAACTGTGTCCAGAAGAGCTGGACTCAGACTCGTCCTCTGACGAGTCCGAGGAGGACGACTCCTCCCCTCTCCTAGAGGGGCCCGCCTCCTCTCCCTTAGAAGGAGCAGAAGGAAAATTAGACATGTCAACGGTAAGATGGGAAGGGAACACCTTGGCCCCTCTCTCAGAACTGTCGGCTTGACAGTCGCCTCGTTCTACATCTGGCGCCTGGTCAGATGTTTCGCTAAGGAGCACCCTTTGGGAGGAGCCGTCTGAGTTTGATATCTTAGCAGTCTGTTTCGTTCTGGCCATCACGCTCTGCATAGACACAGATACAGTCGGACTTTGTATAAAGAGCAAAGATGGGTCCAGAAAAGGGCAGGCGGCACTCCTAGTCCTAGATTCAGCCGTCCCCGGTGACCGGCTGATCACTAACTTAGGTCGTGTCGTGTGCTTCCGTGGTGCCATTTCAAAAAATAAAAAGAAAATTAAGAGTAAGAGAACTGAGTTACCTGAACGAGTGACGGTTGATGAAGTCCTGGAAGTTCGGGTCAGTCGGCTTGTCAGAACAGGCGGTAGGCAGAAAAAGTCTGAAATGTCAGAGCAAGTTCAAGGGTCCGGATGTTCTCACAAAGTTCTCAAATGTGAAAATGACCGAAAGTCAGCACTTCCTTATATAGGCAAGGTGAGAAGGCGAAAGGTCGCTTCCAAATTCAAAATTTGGGCGGGAAAATCTCTCGGCCGTTTGCAAGGTGACACCTGTAACAGGCCGTCGCCTGTCACCGTGCGACACCTGTCACAGGCGACACGTGACCAGTCACGTGCCACCTGTGAGGGGCAAATGATTAGGGGATTTTTATCCACCAATCACCGTCTGACAAGTGGACCAACCAGGTTCCGCCACGTGTCCTTCACGAAGGACAACAGGAGCCTGCCACGTGTCAATCACAGATACGTCCTCTACGGACCACTTTAGACACGCCACGTGTCCACCCATGCCAAATGGGAAAACCGGCCACCAAGGCCCAATCCAGTCTAGAGGCCCGATCAGCCCTAGGTTTACCTTAAACCTAGAGAGTTGCACGCTTCTCAAGGCTATAAATACTCAATTAATCCTCATTAATCACACAATCGAATAATCAAGAGATCAGGCAGAAAAGAACAGAGTTATTAACAACCGGCTAATCTCGCTAACGACGCAGATTACCAACACTAAGCACTCTCACCTAGAGAGATCTCATTACTTTAATTTCTGTATTAATTACTCCTTAATCAGGTACTAACTTGACCGTTGGAGGCGGAGCTCTCAGGAGTCTCCGTTATTTTGCAGGTACAGGCGTCCGGTTCCAGTCTCGGAATTGTAACTCTCCCGCAGGACATCAGAAAACCCCGAAACATGAACCATGATGTATTACTGTATTTTAAATACCGTCAAGTATTTTTGTACTCCCTCCGTTTTTTATAGGCTAGACATGAGATTGCACGGAGTTTTAGGTGATTTAATAAAATAAGATGTTAGTGGGGTAGATAAGGTTATTATTTTATTGAAAAGTAAAGTGGTGTAAGAGGGAGTGGGGACTATTGAAAGAGTGAGAAATGATAAAGTAAGAAAGAGTGGGAACATTAGTGGGTAATGATATATTATTAAATTGTATGAGATTTCCAAAAATGGAATTCAGGCTTATAAAAAAAAGGACGAATATAGTCACTCTAGCTTATAAAAAAACGGAGGGAGTAAATTTTAATAAGATTAAGTATTTAAAAAAATTCTTGTCGTTTAAATTACATACGTCCTATTACAAGTTTGTTAGTCTTTAAAGACAGAGTCGAAGACAACACGAACAATTTGAAGATTGAAGGCTTCAAGATCAAGTCTAAGGGGTCATACTAGGATCAATTATTTTTTTTCTTATGCATTTAATTTCGCTTTAATTATAACCTTAGTTGTATTGCTTTATTTATTTGTTATCCATGTTGTCTGATTAGTTTAGTTCACTTAAATCAAATCAACATAAAAACCTCTAGGTCCCAAAAGGAATATTGAGTTAACAATTGTGATTCCAAAATAATACTTATAAAACATCGAAAATTGATGATGGAATTTGCCAAAGTAAATGCATCATCATTTTCTTAGGGAAGTAAGGTATATGGGATATACATGTCAATTTTTGGTTACACTCAACAATATCAGTAAGGAGTCCTAGATGTTGTGGCAAAATGGATAAGTCTTTAAAAATTAGATGTTACTTATTAACCAAGAGTAGTTTAGAATTATTAACAATGGCATTGCTTACCTAAAATAATAAGTATTTAAGACAAGGCAAAGTATGCTTAAATACTTGTTGATTTTGAGGATCTTGGAATTGTTTTATTTTTGGTACATGGGACAAATTAAACATAAATTGAATAAAACGTTAATAAGTTTGTTGAAATTACTACAATGCAAATATTCAAACTTGTTAAGAATTATATGAATGGTTATTTATTGCATTTCATTTTTAATTGTAGTAATCATGTCTACAAACAATAATGTGCCAAAACTTCCATACGAAGTAGAGGTCAAATTGATGAGAAGTTCTGAGGCTAAGCCACTTGGAGTACGCGTTAGATTTTCTTGTCCGCAGCTTCTATGATAAAGACATGACTCCTGAAAGGCATTTAAGATATGCTTGCGATGCCAACAAAGTTAGTGAACTTTTGCTAAACTCAATTCCAAAGGATTGGAAAAGGAGGCTTATATCATACAAACCTTTTATGCTACTAAGATGCCTTGAAGAAATCATTAACGTCAAGGTTCAAACGTATGGTAATGGAAATTGTGATGGCAATGTGTTTGAATTGACTAGGTTAATGTCTGACCTAAGGATCAAAACTCCTGAAGAAGGTTGCTTGGCCATGGAGTAACACTAAATACATGCCAAGATTTTTGAGACAAAGCTCAAGTTAGGAAGAATACCCTTGCAACCACATGTGCGCAAAATGGACGAACTGTTTAAGCACTTGGAATTGCTTGGATGTCCTCTTCACAATGAAGTAGCAGCCCATTTCTTGCTATGTTCGCTTCACAATGGCTATAATGCATATAGAATGCAGTATTGACCAGAAATGAAGGATATTCATTAGCAAGGCTTATTGAATTGCTCGGAAAGGCTGACACACATCTAGATTGAGATAAAGAGAATCCACTAGGAGCAAAGAATGGAAGCTTCAAGAAAAGAAAGATGTGATGCAACTATTGTAATGAAAGAGGTCATTACAAGAGAGATTGCCTAAAGTTCAAGGAAGACAAGAAAAACGAAAATATCGCATCTAGTTCAAGTATATTTGCTATTGACTTTAACCTTACCAGTAACACTTATTGGGTATTAGATATCGGTTGTGCCTCACACCTTTGTTCCAATTCACAAGGACTAAGAAGAAGTACGAAACTTGCTAAAGGTGAAGAGTAATTATGTGTGGGAAATGGAGCCAAGATTGTTGCATTAGTAGTAGGAGCACTTAGTTCATCATTGCCCTCTAGGCTAGTATTGGAGTTCCTAATCGTTATAGGGTAAAATCTAACTTCCTAATATTGCCAACCATATTCACACATGCTAAAATAGGCGCATATCATTTGACGCCTACAACAACCAACTACTCAAAATGTTCTTTTTCATAACTTTTGACTTAAAAGGTCATTTCTCATAAAATGGACCACTAGTTAAAAAGGTTTTATTTGTTTTATTTCTTTTTTTTTTTTAATGAATTTTAACTCCTTTTGTTTAAAAAGCGTGTGCAAAAGACAAATGACACTTTTATTTGGAAATGAATCCGAAGAAGTTGGTCATTATCATAAGACTTCACTTCACTTCTCAGAAAGTTCAAGATTATAAGGCATGCTATTAGGGTCTTAGGGAACAAAATGATAGATGACAGTAGGTGATGAAGAAAGAAGGGGCAATTTTGTAAAATGAAGTTAGGGAACATGGCATTGTGAACGGTGAATAAAAACTACATACTAGTATATATTAAATGAAGACATACAGGCACCATTATTCCTTTTAAAACCGTAGTTAACTCAAGCTAGGGTACTGTGCACTATCATGTGCATTCTCATTCCATAGTTTGTACAATTCTTCCCCCAATTCTCAACCTCTCAAAATTATAATTTTCATAGAATTTGTCATGGAAGATCAACCTACCAAACAATCCAGCAATAACAATACTACAACTTCTAGTGAAAACAGCAGTATCAGTACTATTAGTTCTACTACTACATCTACTGCTACTACTAGTAGTAGAACTGAGAGAAACAACACCACTAGTGGTGAGCCTGTAAGGTCGAGATGGACGCCGAAGCCAGAACAAATACTAATTTTGGAATCCATTTTTAATAGTGGTATGGTAAACCCTCCCAAGGAAGAAACCGTCCGAATTCGAAAACTTCTTGAGAAGTTTGGTGCAGTGGGTGATGCTAATGTTTTTTATTGGTTTCAAAACCGCCGCTCTCGCTCACGCCGCCGCCAACGCCAACTTCAAGCCTCGCTCGCCGCTTCTGTCACCCCTGTTGGAAGTCAAACACCTCCACCGCCTCCGGTTTCTATGAACCTGGGTTTGCTAGGTGGTGGTGGTGGTAGTTCTAGTAGCTTGTATGATTTTGGGCACCACCATCATCATCATCACCAGAATAGTATTATTAGTACATGCACAACACAGGCTTCTTCGAGTGTTACATGTTTTTCACCATCAAATACTAGTACATCTTCTACCAATTTTGGTGATTGTGGTGGTGTTGTTGATGATGCTTTTGGTAATTATTCTGGGCAAATGGGATTAATTAATTCTAATCATCATTTGGACTGCCCTTCTTCTTCTCCGAATCTAGAGTTTCAATCAGGTATGTTACTTTAATTTACTTTCCTTAATTCTTTAACTTATTCATTTGGCCGTTTAAGGTTACAAACTAATATAATAATTAACACTATGAAAATTGATTTTTTTAGGTACTAGGTATATATAATTTGTATTTAATTTAACTTTCACTTCTAATTTCTTAACACTTTATTTCCCTTTTTTTTTTTTCCATTTTAATATTTTTTTTGAGTTGATTATTGAAGCCCTAAAATCAAGCTTTAAATTGTTACTCAGGTATCAATTGGCAGTAGTAGTAGGTTTAATGAATCTTCTATAATATTGAAGAAAAAAAAAAAAAATGTCATATTCAGTAAACCCTCAAATTAAGACTGAATTGATTGTCAATATACTTTATGATTAATTAAACTCTTATATATGCAAGTAACATACTGAAGTGGGATTCACAAGGTAATAAAAGAAAAAAAAAATGGGATTGGGAAAACAAAATTATGCGAATATCTTGTGTTTAAAAATTACATAGTTTTCAATTGTAGCAAAATTTCTTTTATTTATTTCAAACTCTTCTACCACATGCACACATATTTTAACTTAACCTAAACTGTTGCAACTGACACTCATTAAAAAAAAAATAAAAAAAAATTCATGCAAATTTCTGAATTTCAATTTCACACTCTTAATTGCATTTGATTACAAATCTTATAGGGGTGAAATATTGAAATAATCATATATATCCTAAATATACATTTTATTTTGTTCATATATTTAAAGAAAAAAGAATTAGGGCAAACAATGCAATTTGTGTGTATATTTTTCTCTACATCAATTAATAACGTACTTCCTCATTCAATTGCAAATGATATCGATAATATTGAAATTACAGGGATTATAACAGTATTTTTAAACGGAGTAGCAACTCAAGTACCGGATGGCGCATTAGATATGAAAGCAATGTTTGGAGAAGAAGTGATATTGGTGCACTCTTCTGGTGTGCCTGTTCCATTCAATGAGTATGGAATTTCTCTACAAAGCTTACAACATGGAGAGAGTTACTTCCTAGTATGTGCTTCTTCTTTGCTGTTGCTTCGTTGTTGTCCTAATGCATATGTTAATTAAGGGAAACTTCCTTTCTTAACTTATGTTTTCTATATTTTTTTATTTTATTTTATTTTTTTTTTTTTTTTTTTTTTTTTTTGAGAAAAACTTATGTCTTCTATTTGATCTCTAATTTAATTAATACATGGAATAATGATTCCTTAATTTAAAATTCATTCATTGAGTTTGTCAATTTTTTATACTAAGTCTTATTTATTAAATCATATTATTATCACTCCCTTTTTAAAAGTAGAAGGTTACTAATAACTTATTAATATAGATTGATGATTTTAAAATAGTACTTATTGCTGATGAGAAGATTTGATCAATATTTAAATAATCTATATTAATTTTATAATTTAGTATTTAGTAAACTTATGCTTTCAAAATCTTAACTTGTATCGACAAAGTTTTAAGAGTTAATAATAGCAATAATAAACAAAAGTGATCAATGTTATATCAAAATGTTGATATAAGAATTAATTAAGAGTAGTTATGTATATTAGATTGATAGCATATTGTCAAAGTTATCATCTATTTTTTTGTTTAAAACCAATGCAATTAATTAAATCTTCTATGGTGTATCATTAGCTAGATACAAGGATGAGCTGAGGAAGTGGCACATTATTTTGTTCATAGTTTATGCTATAGGAGAATTGAAATTGAATATCTAGTTGCATATTGTAGAGTGTACAGTTAGTTAACAAGGGTTTCTTTGGTCATAAGAGTATGATCCTTACTATTTAGTGAACAAAGATTCTATTTAAGAGTTTAACACAACGTGAGTCACTCCTTATTTAGCATTGAAGCCTTGCTCATAAAGTAATAATCCTTGTTATGTTAGTCTTATATCCATTTATCTCTATAAAACGAATACAAATAAGGGTTAATGAGTCTAGATAATAATTAGTAATAAAATTACACAATATTAGATAAGAAAAGTTTATGAAAATTTATATAAACAAAAACATATATAATGATTAATAAGGGTTATCCAATTTTTATCTTGTTCCCTCCCAAAAAACAACATATTTCGATGCGAGAAGATCTCAAACCTATTTTACAACCATCATCCTATAGTAGACTAATAAAAATGTTTGATAAGTTTAACGACTATTTAAATTAGTTTAGATAAGTTTAAGAGGGAAAAATTATATGAACAAAACACGCTCTTACATGATATTGTTGTGTTCTTTGACTGTGAGTATCATATAAAGCCTTTAGATACATCAAAAGAAGCCCTTATTTCGTCATACTTCGAGCATCATTTTCCATGGCTAGTAATTATATTGATAATATATCATCAATCAAAGTAATAATCATATCTGATCTATGATATAATTTGAACTGATAATATATATATAAATCATATCAAGACATTGAGAACATTCATAAGAATTACCTATAAGGTAATTTAAACTATAATATAACAATGAAATCTAGACAATGAGAATATTAATAAGAATTACGCGTAACAATGGTCAATGTGATAAGTACTCACAGTCAAAGAACACAAGAATAAAAAACATTTAAAATACTGACAATTAAGAAAGTAAAATGGACACATGAATTCCTTGGCATTGTACCACTTTGATTTAACAATACAACTTACATAGTACTCGTATATTCTACCTTATGACAGCTGACTTAGGAGAGTACAAAGGTTTAAGCATACCACGATGAGCTGACTTAGATTCTACCAAATGACAGCTGATTCATTACTCATTCATCATTTTATTTTTATTTTTTTTCTATATTTTTTAATATTATTTCATGAAATTTTTATTTTTTGGGTAATTTTGCAGGTTCCAAGAATCGCTTAAATTGGGAATAATAGCTGCACCGACCAATTTGGGATCTTTCATCTTCTCCGCGTCACTGAAGAAATATTAAGATACTTATTATTAAGATAGATCATAATCAATTTTAATATTTTAATTACTACACAAAACAGCTCTTAATTACTACGGAGTAGTGTTTAATCTATATATCAAGATCTGTATCATATGCATTCAGATTAGTAGAGGCTTATATTATATAATGTACTCTTTTTTAAAGGGAAACATCAATTTTTTATAAAAAGAAATAAACATTTGTTTTCCCTCCATAATAAGAGTATGAGCCTTTACTATTATGTAGTCAAGTGGTGCAATTTTCATTTCCATAACATAAATTTTTCCTATACAAATTCTCCTTATTACATTTTTTTTTACATGTATGATCGTTTTCATTTTTATTTTTCACTTTGTATTTTTCATGTTACATTATATATAGATATTCAAAAAATTTAAATGAAAAAGTGATTAGCTAGGAATGACAACGAAATGAAGTCAGATTCGTGGATCCATATCCACTTGAGAAGACTTATTTCCACATAGTTGTGGAATTATATATATCCAATAGTTCAAAGTAAATCTAAGTAATCTAGGATATAACATATGTGGATAAAATTCAATCGCTAACCTCGAATATCATCACATAAATATATCATCAGCTAACCTGGATGGCATCCGATCCACTTCTTTTGTTTCAAAGTGAGAAAGTATACATCATGCATCAAAATTTTCATACATAAACGGTGACATTTATGTTTAGGTCATTTAATTCCCACGGCTAGCTAACAATAGGAACAAATAAAGAAAATGTACATTGTATCATTGTATAAATGACCACTACATTATTATATGAAAATATTATAACAAAACAAGTGGGCGAAATATCACATTAATTAATAAAGAACATTATTATATATAATGCTTAAGTTATTTCTGTTGTGTGAAATTCCCTTCGTAACGGTGGCAAAATAGTTGACTGCATAAGTAATTTGTACTTACATATTTGACTAAGAGCTGAGGACATATATATGTATTGTAGTGATTAAGCAAGCATATACAGCTATTATTTTCTCAAAACCATATAATATGGCAGTGTCAGCTTCTTTGCGTTTTGCTTTGGAAAATGTTTCTTTTGCATGGGGTGGACCAATGTGTCTGTTTTATGCTTGCTGTAATATGAAGCAATCTATGTAAAAGATTTTAATTTTTTTTAATATATGCTCACCGTTTTAGGTATCCAGATTTGGCATACAAGAATAATACTTAAAACAGACTATCAATATTAATTCTTCAATTCTTTTTACTCGTAGTATATATACTCCCTCTGTCTCATAATATATGACACAGTTAAATATTGCACATATATCAATATACTAGTTTGACTATATTTTTATATAATTAAATATTAATGAAAATTATTTTAAAAATTATATTATGAAAATTAATATTAAAACCTATCTAACAACATATTTTATGATAAAATATATATTTATTATGTTAGTAAAAAATTATGGTCAAACCTAATGCATGAATAGTGAAAAAAAGTCTAACGTCTCATGTATTATGGGACGAAGGGAGTATATATAAACTTTTATATGCAACGGCGGAGCTAGGAATCTCAAACCGAGGGGATAAATGTAAGACATTGCATGATGTGGCAAAAATGTTAGGAAAAAAAAACTTGACACAAAGATAATTAAACAGCCGAAGTTCAGGTTGTTAAATACTTGACACGTAAATAGTTAAGTAGTCGGAAAAAATGATGATTTCCTTGAGATTTCATTCTTTTTAATTAACTGGATTTTCAAAGATCAAGTTGTTTTTATGTTATCTTAGACTAGTTTGAATTAGGTAAATCATGTGACCTGTCATGAATCAATTATTCAATTACCAAATTTTACCATCAAATTATCAAACAACTTAAATAATTAAAAAGTTAAAAACCGAAAAACCTTAATATTCTAACTGAATAAAAAAAATTCTATAATATCTAATTCAAGTGTGGGATTTAAATTTCAATAAAAACAAACCTCATGTAATAATCCAATATATATATATATATATATATATATATATATATATATATATATATATAATGTTATCATTCAAACAATTAGAAATTACTCTGTATGATTACGGTAGAAAACATAGTATGAACTCTATGGAGTAGTTATTTAACTAATAATGTTTAAAAAATGTATTCTTAGTATAAGTACAAGTTATAAAAAGAAAGAAATAGATAAATTGATTAAAAAAAAATTTTAAAGAAAAACCTGATTTTTTTAAAGTGAGGGGAAAGATGTCCCTCCTTGTACCCCCTTCCTCCGCCCCTGTTCATATGTATTGCATATAATTATTTTACTTATACCAAGCTAAGTTTAGTTTAGTGAAAAAGAGATATTTTCCTATTTTCTTAAATTGTGTAACCCACTAATTTGGGACAGGTTGACTCGTAAGGGGTTCTGGTCTGATAAGGTCCTTCATCGTACCTATATAGAAAAAAAAATATTTTATTTTATATTCCTACTTAAACTATAGGATGTAATTTTAGCAAGGAGTTGCTTCGATATAACTATATACTATGATGGAAAAAATTGATTAAATGGAAAAGCACAAAAACTATGATTTTTTTGAACAAAAATGAAAATGTTAGGCTTATATAGACAAGGAATTCCTAATCGGTATCTAATAATTATACCAGTAATAAATTGAAAATTTTAAGGTAGAGGCGGATGTACCAAGCTTGGTACATCCAAATTTTAAACTGAATTATTCGCTTCGTTATTGAAGGAGTTTGGTAATTATTTCCCATATTTTAAATAGGATCTCAAATTAGAAATTTTTATATTTCTCCATTTTTTCAATTTTTTGAAGCCTTTAAAGAGATGAAGCCTTTAAAGAGAGATATAGAAAACTTAAAGAGAAAAATAGAAAATTTAGAGGGAGAGAAATTCAAGATCGAAGATGATGGCTGCACATTTAGAATTTCGTATGATTTAAGAGTCTAAATTTATTTTCTTTCAAATTTATTTTCTTTATTTATTTTATCTTTTTAACAGTCGTAATCTTTACCTAGGATAAAAATTAGTAAATTTATTACCTTTTTATAAGATATTATTAGAGTTAGGATTTCATTTTATCTTTTAGATTTGTTTATCCTATCACATGCAAGTGTATGCCTATAAATATTTGTTTTTATTAAAGAGAATTTTGAATGTCTTTGATTTTATGAAAACAAGAAAATTATGAGTTAGTTCGAGTGAATCGAGTTGATTTCAAAATGTTAGTTTTCTTTCGAAAAGATCAAAATTTATGTTGCTTTTCTTTTTGTTTAAGTCGAAAATATCATAATTTATTGAATTAGGTTTAACCCTAGTTGCTAGTATCCCTTATTGTGGTTTAATCCACATCAAATTGGTTTCAAGA